GGCAGACGTGGTACCTTGGCTGCCTTTTGGGCTTTCAGGTTGAGTTCTCTAGTGACCCCAGAAACCTCTGATCAGGAGCCCTTTCAAGAGCCCCAATCTGACTTTTCCACATAAAGGCTCAAGATTCTGGGTCTCACGTCACACCTAGTGGATCGTTACACTGGCTATAACATCCTTTCCCTCGTTCCAAGGTACTGACCATTCGTTTGCAGCCCTCCCACGCTTTCCCCACAATCATGTGAAGAAGGAATGATAATGTGCATTTTTCTGGGCCACTTTTTTTCCTGATCCTCATTGAATCCTCACAGTGACAGGGAGGCAGGAAGAGGTACCAGCACGCTGCTTGTCAGATGGGAGGCACACTGGCCAAGGACTCACAGAGATGGATTAAGGACCCGACAGAAGGCTGAAGAGAAGCACGTGTTGTTTAATCTTGTGTTACGAATGTGTCCAGCTTCTCCGTGTTTCGGCGCCGCCTTTAGCACGGAAACAATGACAGTGCCTGCCTGTTAGGGTTGCTGTGGGTTAGAACAGGTACAGTCCTCAGTGCTGTGCCGGGGGTCTAGAAAATGCTGCAGAACATCTGCTCTTTCCTTTCTAATTTTACTTCTATCAGCACATGTTTACAGTACACGATGATTATATTTCTCCTGGGGAGTTGATACATGTGCATACTATGTTCGAATTCTTTTCATGTCCTCTTCCCCTTCCTTCCCTCTGCTCTTACTGGGGAAGTGCAGTGCGTACCGGTATGGCAGCCGTGGGCATGCTGCCCTCCACCTGCATACCCGTTTGGTTTTTGACATCACTGCTCACATTCTTACACGTGGTGCATTTAACACGCGTTGGGCTACGTTCAAGGGCTCAGTCTCTGTGGGCTGCGAGTGTCAGCTCCCTCTGTTGCTCCTGTTATTGTGGCACTTGAGGATGGGAGGATTAGAGGGCCAGAGTGGATAAGCCAGGCTCATGCCTCAGCAGAAATGAGGTCGGGACTGTAGGGAGGAAAATGCACCCAGAGACCCTGAGCCCTTAGAAGAAGTTTAGCCAAGGAGTAAGAAGAACCACGGACCCTTGCAAAAGGTAAACAGCTTTGTCTGTTGGGGAGGAAATGTACAACTCTATGGCACTCTTCCCCTACCAGCTCCCTTGCTTCCCGAGAACAGGCTCCGTCCTTTGGGCCAAGTACAAATGCAGCCTTTGCAGACTTTCTCTCCCTTTCAGCAGGTGGGATTTGGCCTACAGCCTGACAGAAGGAGGGTAGTATAACCCCTTGATGGTCACTCTTACAGCCCAGTACCCCCAGGGGACTGGAGACAGTGAGAGCCCACAGACTTTCCCCCAAACGAACGTGAAAAGATGTCAAGAAAAACAAAGACAAACAAAAAGGATCTCCACTGGGTGTCAGGTAAGGCTATGGAACATCTGCGGTCTTGGGATCCCCTGTCCTGCTCCACAGAATCCAGAACGACAGCTACTGCCCAGCGCTTGGACGCTTCCTGCCAGAAATCCCAAAGGCCCTGAGAACAAATGAATGCGGTCAAGGGGAACAGGGAGAAGCGAGCTGAATACAAAATGAAGACTTTCTGAATTCAATAACTCATCTGATCCCAGCTGACACAGTACCTGCACTCCATGGGGGTAGTGCAGTGCCTCTTGAATAATAAATATGCAAGATCCCAGCCGCCAAGCACGGTAATTCAATGAGGACAACACGACATTCTGGACGTTCTCTCAGGGGAGGACGCGTCAGCACATGCTGCTGGCAAGCACTCTGAGAAGGTGGCCGGGTTCCCAGGGAGAGTTCCTCCCTCAACACTGTCCACAAATGCACGCCTCCCTCCTTCCAGGGATGCGTCTGCCCTGGTAAGAGACTCACGGTCCCTCTTCAGTGGACATTCAGCCCAGGGGACCTCACTGGAAGAATTCTCTAACAGTTACTTATAACATGGGTTTCTCTTAGTATCCTATTCACGCTCCCTCCTTTCAGGGACATAAAAATGGAAGCCCACGGGGACCGCAAGTTCCACCCAGCATCATGGCAAAGGTGAGGGCAGGGCCAGGGGAAGACGGAGACTCGGTTTCAACGCCAGCTGCCTCTTGCCCACCCCTGTGGCCACGCTTCCTCCACATGCTCTTGTCTGTCCTGGGCTGGTTTACCAGTCCCACATCTAAGTCACACTGGGCAGGGTGCCTTCAGGTCTTCTGTCTCAATCACTCTCATCTGGGTTAAGTAAGAAAGGCGATGAACTGGTGTCAAAACAGAAAAACCTCAGGAATGGTCAGGTAACGGTGTAACAGCTGCAGAGAGGAAAGATCCAGGCTTACTGGAAGATGAATGTATGAACACATCCCTGTTTTACCAAACAAACTTATCTAGGATTCCAGTGAGTAACCTGTTTTTCTCACACGTTTGAAAAAGTATTTAACTTATAAAGATCATCACTTTCCCCAACATTTCGGGTTTGTATCAATTGCATTATATGACAAAAATACTTTTCTTTAGCCTGATTTTTATTTCTGAGGGACAAAAGTTGTGATAACCAAAACTATGAAGATGGAAGACGGGCAATGATTGGATTTCCATCTTACAGATTATACTTGTTCTTAGCCAAAAGCCTAGCTGGGTGTGATGGTTTGTATAGGCCCAGCTATTAAAGGATCTGAGGCAGGATTACTTGTGTCCAGGAGCTGAAGGCAAGCCTGGACAACGCTGGGCTTCAGGGGTTCTCGCTCTCTCCCTCTCTCTCTCTCTGAGAACCTTCTGAGAGAGACAGACAGAAATAGAATTATAAACCCAGAGGAAAAAGACCTCAAGAAAACCTGATACTTTCTCAACAGCAATGAGTTAATCCACTTAAGGCTTCATGCATCATGGGCATTATAATAAATTTATAATTCTCAGCATTTTTACCCTTTTTAAATGCTATTGCACATTCTCCTCTGGCTTTTCCTACCAAAGCATGGCCATTTTCACAATTTGGTGAATATGCTGCATTCTTCTGGCTTTTGACAAGCACCGCACAGTGCCGTCTGTCCCACCCCCCAAATTAAATCAGACTTGTTGCAACACAGCTGCAGCTACAGGCTGCCAGCGTTTCAGAGGATGGCACAACTCCCCACTTGGCAGGGTGGGCTGCTGCTTTACATAGAGCCCTTGCAGCCCAAAATGCCACCACTCTGTTGGTACAGTGAATCCAGCACCCAAAGAGAAAACACTACCAACTCACATCCCGTTGTATAAAAGGGTGAAAACATTCATGTAACCCTTCTTTGATAGAGAAGTAAATGCTTTCTAGAAATGCAAGAGGCCTGGTGTATGGCACATAGAAGGCACTCCATAAATGGTGACATTAGCCAGGACCAAGCGTGACATTTGGATCCTTTCTCTAAAGAATACAAAGACAAACGCAGCAAGCTCTCAGCCATTGATACTCCTGTCACATATCTTTTATTCTCTTGATCTGGGTACTTCCTCTGCTGATATAAAAGCTAAGAAGTGAAGGAATGAACCTTCCCAAGGTCATGCTCCTATGTTGAGTCCAAGATTTGAACCTCAGTCTTCCTATTTTCTCAGAGTCTTTAAGGGGCCTAGAGCCAGCAGAACAGATAAGACAAAGGAGGAGTTGGAAACACAGTCCTCTGGCAACAAAGCCAACTGTGATGCATAGTAAAGCTGTGGGTATCTTCCAGTTATACCTCCAGCAATAATCAGATCCTTCCCTAGCCCAGCCCCACGCACCTTCCCCAGTGATCCTTCCTCCTTCATTAGCCTTGATCAATTACAAGGCCCTACGGCAGGGACTGTTTCTTCCTCTCGTTTTTGTTTGGAGCATTGTCCTAGCAAGGCTCAAATAAAGGGCTATTATTAGCAGTGACAATAATGCAACACTGTTTTCTCAAGGGCCTTCACCAGGGCTCGCCAGACTACTCCATGCCACTTCCTGACGCCTCTAGCTGGTGGTTTTCACCTGCGAACCCTCAGTGGCTCTGAGTTTGGTACCCAGTACTGTCTTCCACACCCAGTTGCCGGAACTCTCATTACACCCTCAAGGTCCCTGAAAATTGGAAAGAGGAACACATGAAAGTGCCAGGCAGGGACTAATGAGGAGCTGCAAGATCCAATAACAGGCCAAGCAGGTAGTGGCCCCCAGGCCTGTTTTGAACGGTGCTCAAGGCCTTAGAGCTGAACAACTCTGGCGGTTGGTTCAATATCAGTACTGCTGCGGGGATAAATGGTTCTCATTAGCTCCTTTGGGCCTTGGGTGCTCTGCAGGTTAAGGCTCATTTCTTGAGCAACACTGTTTTCAGTGACAACAGAGCAGACACAGAGGGAAGTTCATTGTGGGGGTCCACAACTGTGCAAGAGAAGCCAGACTCATCCTTCATGCTCCCAAACTTTGGCTCTGGTGGGAACTGGGCTAATGAGTGCTCACTGAGGGAAATAAAATGGGCTTTGGTGCAACAGAAGTAAGCAGCATGAGGAGGCAGGGTGCATATGGAGAGGATATGATTAAACATATAACAGCCTCAGTTACTTGAGGTTTCATGTTTCACAGTTTCAGTTATTCACAGTCAAGTGAGGTCTGAAAATATTAAATGGAAAATTCCAGCAACAAGTCACGTGCTTTAAATTGTGCATTGCTCTACATAGCACGATGAAATTTCATGCCATCCACTTGTGATGTGAGTCCGTCACTCTGTCCAATGTATCCACACAGTATATGCTACCCATTCTTTCATCACTCAATGGCTGTCTCAGCTATCAGATTGATGCTCATAGTATCACAGTGCTTGTGCTCAAGTAGCCCTTATTTTGTTTTATAATGACTCCAAAGCGCAAGAGAAGTGATACTGGCAATTTAAGAAGATTTAAAGTACTTTGTTCAAGTGAAAAAGTGAAAGTTCAACTTAAGAAAAAAAAATCACACGCTGAGGTTGCTAAGATGGTAAGAACAAAATCCATCTGTGAAATTGTGAAGGAGGAAAAGGAAATTTGTGTGGGTTGTGCCGTCACACCTCAAACTGTAAAAGTTACAGCAACAGTGCATAAATGCAGTTTGTGTATATATGCATGTATAAGAAAAAAATAGCAGATACTTTGGTAAAACACGTGGTTTCAGGCACTTAGTGAAGGTCTTGAAATATGTCCTCCATGGATGAGGGGGAATTACTGTAAGCTCCTTTTCAGGTGCTTAACTTTTGGTTACAGCATCTCTGGTGAGAATCTCCTTCCACGTGGATAAACAGGATGTCTGCCTGGCTTTGATTTTTTTCTAAAATAGGTTCTTACTATGTTGCCCATGTTGATTGCCAAGTCCTAGGCTCAAATGATCCTCTTGCCTCAGCTTCCTGAGTCTTGGGATGTGGGTGTGTACCACCATACCTGGATCTAGACTTTACAATTATATTATCATCTGTCACAGGTGACACACCAGGTAGCCAAGGTTTATGATGATTCCCTAGTTGTGCCATGGTTGTCCTAGTGGCCAACTCATTCAGAAGGTGGGAAGCTGTGCAGGCTCTGGCGTGGGTTAGAGATTGGCCGCTCTGGCCCAAGACGACCACATTCCAGTGTACTTCCTCATGATGTCACAAATGCCCTCCAGGGACAGCTGAGTTCCAGGCGCAGCTTGTCGAGCCAGATCTGTTCCCAGCAGCCCTTTTCTCCTATCCCAAGACTGAGGCAGGAGTCACAAGCACAGCACTCTGGCTCGCTCCCCAAGCCTTCCTGCCATCCTCAGGGGCTGCAGAGCCAGTAGTCTGTCCTTTCCACGTTGACGTTTTCATGCGTCTGATGGCTTTGCTCTGCAAGATCAATGGTCTGCTGGAGAAAGTCTCCCTATAACTTCTCTAAGGGATGTGGCACAGCCCTAATCAGGCTTCTTCCTCTAGCAGGAGAAGGGAGAGGGTCCCAGTGCCATCAAGAGAGCCTTCATATACCTGGTCTTCCACAAGTAAGTTGAAGGGAGCCCTGGAGTGGAAGTGTGGTGAACAGGGCCTGAGGCCGGGAGGCTAAGGCGGGCTTACCCTCAGTGAAGCTCTCTTCAGCACTCAGGTTCAAGGCCTTCCTCTCCAAGACAGTCTTTCCCATTTGCACTACCCCTACAGCTGAGGGAGAGCCCATGGCAATGTGTGGACCTTGGCTTCTTCTCTGTGCTATGGAGAAGAGGTCTGGATGAATGAAGAAGTCTTCATTCCCACCATCATGCAGTGGAAGCAGGAGTGGACGGATTGCCTCTGGAAATTATGCTTAATGGTCCAAATCCATGGGAATTTGTCTAGCTCCTCTTGGGAGACTTTTTAGGTTTGCTCAGAAAATCTGATTTTGTTTGACTTTCTGCCGCCAGCATTTAGAGGAGCTGGTTAGCTCCTCTCTGTACATTGTTTTAGCTTTTCTCAAGCTGATCAAAACATGTAGACTCAAAGCCAGTTGCCTTCCATGCCCACCCTGTTCTGGGCTTGCTGGTGGGGCCCTGGGTAGACATGGCTAATGGCCCAGCCAGACTTCTCCCTCCTCATCCTCAGAACAGCGTCTTGGGCTTTGCCTTCCTCTAAAACCTTGTCCAGTCCAGGGATTCTGCACCCCCTCCCTATGCAACATCCTTGGTCACTCACTGAAGGGTTGGGGAACGGTTAATCACACGCAGAGGGTGGGGGGCAGGGAGATAAGTGCACCTTAGAACTGGTTCTTCCATGGTGGACGCAGGACTCACCGAGTCACCCTACTTCCTTATGACTCAGTGGCTTCATCTAAACACAGAGGAAAGGGCAGCCTGGCCAAGCAGGATGGCAGGACAGAAGAGAGGACAGGAATGAAAGTAATGCGGTGTTCCAGAGGCAGGCCTTTGACGACACTTGGAGCCTGACCGGTGTACACTGGCTTCCACATGTGCAGGTTCCACTCTGCACCTAACTGGGGGAGAAGCAGGGTGGGGAGGGCCCTACCCACATTCCTGCAGAGTTCCTGGTGAGAGAGACAGCAGGGAGGGGATGCTAAGCAGGTATCCTCAGTGGGTGAGCCCTTTGGTCTCCTGGGGACGGCACGGCAGCTCTCAGTCCATGAACTCATGCTCCTAATGCCCAGAGACAGCCCCCAGGGGTCGCTTCCTCCAGAAACTCTGAGGAGACTTCAGGGCAAAAGGGAAAGTGCCCCTAGGTGAAGAGGAAAGAACTCTGACGGGGAAGTCCTGAGTCCAGGGAGCTGGTCTCACCTCTGCCTTCACTCATTTCTTTACACTGGGGACTGAACCCAGGGCCTCTGCACTGAGCTAGATCCCCAGTACTTTCTTGATTTTTTACTAAGTCACACAGGTTGGGCTTATACTTTTGATCTTCCTGCCACAGCCTCCCAGCGTGCTGGGATGAAAGGTGCGCGTCACTACAGCCGGCTCCATTTCTGCTGTTGATTCGTTATGTGACTATGGAGCAGTTGTGTCCCCCGCCTGAGCCTCAGTTTCCCCATCGGCGAGCTGAGCTTGTGATGAGACCAAACCCTTCCGGCCTTGGCACTTTGCACTCCTTCAGCGAACAGGGAAACAGTGGTACGTCTTGTTATTTCTAAGCAAAGGGCCTAATTGTTCAGCAGCACAAACTCCTCCATCTAAAACCACAACTGCTCCTCTCCTCTCCCTCCCCCTGCCACCTCCTTCCTCTGAGACTCACAGAACATTCATTTATTTTTCTTTGGTGCCGGAGCTGAAAACTCTGATGACTAAGCCATTGAATTTGAATATGCTACTGTGCTCCTGGGAGGATTCCTTCATTCCCGGGCCCCCACCGCCCGTCTCTGCGCCCCGCGTGGCCATGTGGTAGTCGTTAGGAACAGTTTGATGAAGTTCAGGTTCTCAGGATAGACCAGAGACGGGGGAGGGCCAGTGGCGAGCCATGATAAATGGACACAACAGTGCAGCGGGCCACTCGGAAAACAAACACAGAGCTCTTTCTGAGGGAGCCACTGAAAACAAATCCCCCAAAAGCTTTTTCCCTTTCGCGGTGGGTGGAGGGAAGGAGGGCGTGTTGGGGGATGGGGGACAGAGCAGGGGGTGCTCTGGCGGTTCAGGGACAGTGCTCACAGCCAGACATAATTCTTTCTGCTGGCAGCAACTAGATGCACCCTGAGGGTGCTGCCAGCTGCGTATCACAATGTGGTGTCCCTCCGTGGCTGAGGCCGGGCATCAAACTCCGGGGTGCTGAAGAGGCAGAGGCCCTCAGGAGAGCTGAGAGATAGCCTGGATTACCAAGGCCGGGAGGGACACCGTGCCACAGAGTGCGGCCAGGAGCACACTCAGTCTTGGGGACTCGGGGAAGCCCCTCGTCCCGGTGAGGGCTTCTCCAAATCTCTTTGCTGCACCGCCCCTCCAGTCTCCTCCCCACCCTAATGGAGGTAGGAAGCTGCCCGCCATCTTGCATTTCTACCCACACAGCTTAAAATCCCTGACCCCCGAAAACAACCGGGAAGACTAATACTAAAGAGCCCTGTTCTTGAGGGTGAAAAGGATAACTTTTTTCTTTTCTTTCTGTAGTGCTGAGGACGGAGCCCAGGGCCCGGCACATGCTAGGTAAATGCTCTGTCTCTGAGCTCCCTCCCCAGCCTGACAGTGACGTTTTAGAAAGATACACACGCCAGCAGGAAGGGGAACAGGACGCGAGATATGAGAAATGCCTTCAAATACCTCAGCAACCATAGCAAAGCGGTAAGTGAACTGGGACAAGCCCGCGACAGCTGGTGAACCTGGCGGGGGGCCACCTGGAACCCCTCAGACAGCTATTCACACTTATCTAGATGTTTGGAAATAGTCGTGGTACAGCGAGAGACAATCTTAAAAACATCCTAGACTCCAATGGTAAGAGTCCATTTGCGCAGTGCTGATGACGGGGCAGCTGTGTGTTTTACAGAAGGAGCCCCAAGGGGGAGAAGTCCAGCACAGCTTTGGTTTTTGGTGCAGATTTCATCTGTTACTCGAGAGCTCGGCCACCAGGTGCTACCTGAGAAGGAAGTATCAGTGTTCTTAAGGTTCCCAGGAGGCCTGTGGAGAGTTCCCTTATTAAACTGCCTTCCTCGGTGGGGTTTTACCTGGAGTATCTCCCTAAGGATCTCTCAGACACCTTCTTCAGATGCACAGCAAGTGACCAAGACAACCAGAGTTCATTCATCTCCCAATTTCTGTGGTCAGTAACACACAGATATATGCAAAACATGTCCCTCCATTTCTTTAAATTGTCAAATAATTTCCTCCCTCCACACTTGAGAGCTGAAGTAAACAAGTTCACGCGACATTCCCCTTGGATTATTAGAATGAGAAACATGGGACAGATGGTGACAATTCTCCAAAAGCCAGTCACTTCTACCAGAGGAAGGATGCAGTTCCCCGTATGTTCATTGCAGCATCTAGGAACCAGAGGCCTGGGTTTGAATCGTGCTCTGCCCCCAGCCCAACCTCAGGCAGGTCCCTGGGACTTGCGGAGCTGCTGCTAGGGCTTCAGAATAGCGGAGATGGGTTATAGAGCTTAGGAACGCACAGAGGTCAGAAGGGCCAATGTCGCACCCATCACAAGCTGCAGTGGCGCTTCCTAGGGCTGCAGAGCAAAGCAGCACAAACCGGGGGGCTTTAAACACCAGACATTCGTTCTCTTCCACTCCTGGTGGCTAGAAGTCTGACAAAGCTGTCAGGGAGGCCCTGATTTCTCTGAGACCCCAGGTGGGAGCCTTCCTGGGGCTTCCTAGCTTCTGAGAGAAGCAATCTTGGACTTGTAGATTTATCACTCCAATCTCTGCCTCCATTGCCATACACTGTTCTCGCACATCTCTGGCTCTGTATTCCAATTTGGCTCCAGAACACCATGCTGCATGAGGGGCTCACCCTGCTCCAGTGCAAACTCAGTTCCCTTAACTTCTCCTAACCTCAACAACCCTACTTCTAAATGAGGTCACATTCTGAGGTAGCAGAGGGTGAGGACCTCTCGGTATTTAACTCCGCCCTCCCAGCACAACCATAGCAGCAGCTACTCTCTGCCCTTCCAGTTGGGATCAGGCTCTGTAGACCAGGCCTGTTCGGTGGTTAATACGCTGCAGAGATGCCCACTGTGACAGGAACAGCCTCTTCTCTTTTTGTGGTTAATGCTAACAGGGAGATTGGTTTTTACAAAAAGTTCTGCGGTTTTCATCAGGAAGGGCCGTTAGCTGGAGCCCAAAGCACAGGGGTGGGAATTAAACTGAGAGAAGTCCTGGCTTTGTTGTGAAGGACAGATTTGCTATTGGCCACAGAAGAGTTGCCTATGCCGTTTTAGATCTGCAAACACCCTTCGGTCTATCTGCTTGCAGTAACGCTTGTGTCTGAAATTAGGGAAAGGTAGAGGCATTGGGTCCCTGGCCCTCCAGAATGCAGGGGTTGCCGAGCTTTTCTGTTAGGGGCACGCAGTACTATTTTGTGCTTTGTGCACCATACTGTTCCCGTCACAGTGACCCACAAGCAGCCACAGACAGTCTACGAGTGAGCGGCTGTATCTGTGTCCCATGAACCTTTGTTTACTTATGGATGCCGAAATAGAAGGTCACACAAATTCTACGTGCCATCAAACACAACTTGTCTTTCGATTGTTTCTTCAACCTTCTCCCAATATAAAAACTACTTTTAGTGGAGAGGACACGGCCCATGGGCCCTGGCTCGCTGACCCCTCTCTCTCACAGCCACCTGTGTGTTTCTCCTCAGCACACCACTGCTGTCGGGCCACCTCCATTCTCAGTACGACCTTACCGTTCACATCATGTTCTCCCCTCTCATTCACCCCGTTGCTGGGCACAGTAGACTAAGTCACCCCCATTTCACACATGAAAAAAAGGGGGAGGGGAAGAATCCAAAACGTCGAATGGCCATGTGACAAGTGGTAAGGTTGTACTGCACCGTCTGTCTTCTGGCACCTCACCTGGTGTCCCGGCTAAGGGGCCACATCGCCCAGATGCTCTAGAGAAGCTCTCCCTCCTCAGACGGATGCCCATCCCATCCCCACAACTCTCCGAGTCCGCACTCATCATCCCCAGTGACTCCTCCAGGAATCTGACTGCGACTGGTACTTCAGTGCGGAGCCTCCGGAGAGTCCTCTGGAATCTCCGATTCCCCACCAAGAGGACCAGGTCTCATTTTGGCCCACGACGGGTGGGCCACGAGCAGCTCCCGACCGCTTCGCTGCCTCCACCAGGAGTAAGGGACACAGTTCCTGGGTCAACCATGGCACCTAAGGCATCTGCTGAGCTGCACCTCCAGAGACAGAGTCTTCGTCTATGCCAGGGGCGGGGACTAGATACTTGTGGGGCCAGAAGTGCGAGTGAGTCAAATTCGGGGGGCGGGGAACCGACTACAAATTGGGATGCATTTGCCCATCTAAAGGGGGCAGATGCTACTCAGCTTTAGCCTACTGGTGCCAACTACGGAACTCACTCACGTTTTAAATAATAGCTTAAGAGTTTTATTGATTGTGAAATCAAAAGGTCAGGGTATGACTGAAAAATAAGGCGAACGTTAAAAACCTATTTAAAACATTTATGACAATAAAGACACTGCCACAGTCACCCTCGATATATACCCCTGTCACTTCAAACACACTGGTCCCATCATTCCTGCCTCTTTCTCTAAGAGTCCTGGAAGTCCTGTTGATGTCTTCCACTGCTCTGTCATAGCTGCCTTCATGTCCTGAAATGATTCAAAACATTTATCTTTCGTGGTCATTTTGACTCTGGGGAAGAGGCAGAAGAAGCACAGGGCCAGACCCGATGAATAAGGTACACAAGGACGTGCTGTAATATCTTTAGGAGTCTGCCCTTCTGTTGGACAGCACTTGGCAGTGGAATTTACTAAAGTTTGGATCACACCTTGGACACTTATGAAAGAGCACTTCCAGAAGTGCTTCAGAAAGGGGCATGATGGGAGGAGCGTGTTTGAAATTAGGGGAGTATTTTGAGGGAGATTAATGGCAATGTATCTTTGACTGTATACATTTTATTTTAACTCACACTATGTTTTGATCAGCCCTGGCATTAAATCAAAAGGTATCCATAGACCCCTGTGTGCAGCCTCTGCCCTGAGGCCCATTTCTTAGGCAGTGGACACTGCCTGTAGTACACATGGAGCTGATACTCTCTCCCAAAAACATGTACGCTGGCAACCAGAGTTGGAGTGGGTGGAGAGGAGAGGAGGGTCGGTCTGATCAAGAGGAAGACAGGAGTAAGCAACCACATGACCCTAAATTAAGCAGTACAGGGGGTGGGGAAAAAAAAGCTTGGTGTTTGGAAGTAAATGCACACTGAATTATTCAAGACGGGCTCAGCCCAGGGCAGAAATAGAAAATAAGTCCTTGCTGTGTCCCGATCCCACCTAAACTGAACTTGACGATACCCTGTCACAAGACAGCTTTGATGGAAATGAGGATGATGATCACTGATGCCATCCGATGTGGTGATTGATAATGTTCTCTGCTAAACCCCCACCGTGTCCTTGAATCCCAGGAAGGTGCCTGGCGTGGGTCCAACCATATGGACTCTGGCTCCGGGAGCAGAGTATTTCCTCTGGGTTAAAACTCTAAATACAGTCGTGTGCTGCGTAACAACCTTTTTGTTGACAGTGGACCACATATACAAAATAATACCCCCACAGACATAAAATTATACCCCCAGTGGCATCACAGTCGTCTTGGTTTGTATAAGTACATGTTCACATATCATAGGCAAAATCACCTAAATGATGCATTTCCCAGACTGTCCCCTTATCGAGAATGGATGTGTGACTATACACATAGCTTGCCTTTGGCTCCATGAAGTCACCCTTTCTCCGACAGCTTGTCCTTTGTGGTGGCTCTGTGACCTTGTGGTCCTACTTGACCTTGTGTCCCTAGCATCCTATGAGGCTTTGACTGGCTACTGCAAGACCGTAGACCCCAGCAGGGCTCAGTGTTCCCTAAACACACGCGGAAACCAATATTCACGAAGCTCCCATAGACCTGGTATTCCCCCCGCCCTTGATATTTGTAATAAAACAAGGAGATGTGGCCTTACTGCTTCCTCTTGGTGTTACCCAACTTACAAACTGTGCCAAACCTCAGTTTCCTCATCTGTAACTGAATGTCAAAACAGCACTCACATTTCATGGGGTTCCCAGTAGAAATTAACAAAATAATGAATTCAAAGTGTTTAACAGTGCTTGGCATATAATAATTTAATACGCTGTTCGTCATGGTGTTTTTTGTTAAGAACTTTTATTCTGAAATACTTACAAATTCATGAAAAACTGCCAAATAACAGTATAGAAATGTTGTGTGTGCCTGTTGTCTAGTTGCCCCCATATTTTTGCATCTCATATAACTAGGTACAATAGAAAAATTATGAGGTTGATATTGAGGTCATGTGTCCACGTAGTTCCATACCATTCTGTCACACAAACAAATGACTTATTTTTATAACTATCACGAGAGACAGGGCTGTTAAGTGTATAGCCTCTAATTCCAGACTGTCTGGGTTCTAAAAACTCACCTGGTCATTACTCACTGTGTGAGCTTTAGCATGTTACTTAACTGTTCTGTGTCTTAGACTCCTCTTCTATGAAAGAGGACCAAGAACCACAGCATTCCTTTGCAGGGGGTTGTTAGGAGGAATCCTTTATATACAAAGTGCTTCAGTAGTACTGGCAGTCAGTAAACATTCCATTATTTTTAGCTCTTATTATGTTTACTATAGTTACTATTCCTGGGCCCCAGGAATGGAGGGGCTCAGAAAAATCTTGGCCTGACTTCTGTCACAGGGTCCAGACCCCTTTTTCTCCCCGTTTAAGGAAATGAGCCAAGGAAACACCAGGGGTCTGCTCTGGTTGTTTTGTTTTGGAATAAGCCCTACTGCATTTTGGACACAGAAGCTGGCTGCTCTGGCAGACCTGCCTTTGGAAGGCCTGGGGACTCTCCCCTGGGAAGATGGGCTGACTTGGGGCTCACGGCTCTGGACAGTAAGCTGGCAAGGGACGTGGGAGGGGGCGAGCTGCTGCTCTGCTCCCCTCCGCACCCCCCAGAAGCCTGCATTTGGCCCAAGTGGACAGCACCCCAGAGTGCTCACCCTTCCTCTCAAGGGCATTTCCATCTATCCAAAGTGTGATCGCCCTGCCCCATGGGTTTCATGGGTGAGGTCAGAGAAGATAGATGAAACAGGACCCTCCTGACCTCAGGCTGTTGAAGGAGAACTGATGGTGGCCACATGGTCTGGTGTCAAGGTCAAAATTCCTGAGAACTTACATCCCCCTCTGCACTAGCATTGGCACAATCCACTGGAAAAGAGGAAGGCCATCATACACCGTGCTGCATGGAGGCCATCACGCAAATCAGGCTGGTGCTATGGGAGAAGGAGTAACAGTAATTATGCTAGCAGCTCCTACTTGGGCCAAGTGCCCTCGATTCTCAGATTGATATATTACACGGTATTTTCACCCCCATCTCGCAGTGAGAGGCAGAGGGTCAGAGAAGCCAAGGTCGCAGCTGTAAGCCGTAGCACCCATAGCATTCAAACCCAGGATAATAAGCACCCATGGCAGACCTCTAATCACTCCACTGTACTTCCCAGCCAGTGGCTCCTGTGCCTCTCAGTTGGACTCTCATTCAACCCTTTATTAGTAATGTGGTGCTGGGACCAGGGATTTAGCTCAGTGGCTCCACTGCCTGCCTTGTAAGCGCAAGGTCCCAAGTTTGACCCCCAGTACCAAACAAACAAACAAATAAACCCCAAAGATAATGTGGTGCTGATTTGTGGGCTCATTTCTGGCTACTTCTCTTCTGGTGTGATCTTATGCATTCTTGCATTAAGACTGGAATGGGTTATATACATTTTTGAGCTGGATAACATTAATAAAAGGAGGTAGAAGAGGAGAAGGAGGAAGAGGAGAAGGACACCTGGGGGTTGGCAGGCCTCCCTCTGTTCTCTACCTCTGAGGCAGGTAGAAGGTCAGGCCAGTGGATCTGCAGAGCTCCATTTCAGTCTTGGGATCCTATTTCATATGAGGACCAGCCCAGACCCAGCTTGGCACAACACTGTACAAACGTGCCTTGAAAATCTACCTCGAGCTCCCAACCTGGAAACGTTTCCTGCTTTTCCACTTCTAGCCAGCTCCTCCTCCATCACAGGCTGCCGGTCACTCCAGACTATACATTTGGTGACGATATTGGTGGAAAACCGGACCAGCAGCCTTTACATACGACTCTTGCCTGGGGCCAGGGATGCTTCCCAGGTGGTAATGACTCACCTGGGCTCCAGACTGGCAAAGCACACACAAGACCCCTAGGAGGTAAACCTTGGGGGGGCCCTCACATACCGCACGGCACCAACTCCCTTGACTCCAACCCAACAGGAAAAATCAGATTCCATCATTTGGAATCTATTTGGCTTGGATCCATGACAGCATTCCTGACTCAAGACCTGACTCAGAAAACGGCTGTGGCCCATAGGTCCAGGCTGTGAGAAAGAGGGTCTGGGTTACAGGCAACATCTTTTTCCCTCTTGGGCTTTGGGCTATAAATTATGGCAGAAGAAAAGCTGGGAAACATCTTTCCTACCCCAGCAAAGAAGGCTGTGACTCTGCTGTGGAAAAAGCACCTTCTCCAGAGACAAACTGTGGGGAAACAGCATGCCACAAGCTTCCTGTGCACAGTAGGCATTATTTCCCTTTATCTTGGACGAACAGAAATCCAATCCTTGATTTCCTGCCTCGAATCAGCTACAGATGACAATGGTAACTGCAATTATGGCTTTCATGAATACTCCGTCTACCTTAAGTCACCTCCAGGTATGGGGGGGGGTCCCGACTCTGTTCTCCTCTTTTGGGATTATCTTCAGCTTTCACTAGCTGGCATGACCAGCTTCCATGGGACACTAAGTCTTAGTTAGGGGCGGTAGTTAATTAGGCACAGTACACTAAGGAGTAGGAACACGTTTGGCACCCTTCATGGCAAGGGAACTTCTGATTCAGAACTCCCTATTGGTTAAGGCTCTTGTACCATCCCTATCATGTCAGCCAGACACGGCCCTGACCTCCTGCAGGTGGAAGAAGCTATCGCCAGGTAGATGTCAGTCCTGCTGGAGGTGACACAGAGGAGCATTGCTAAGCCCTCCAATCAAGGCCAGGGATGAATACCTGAACCTTTTCTCACTTAATTCATCTACACCCAATCTTCCCAAAATGAGATATGGCACTTGGGTATTACATGTGGGAGGGTTTTGATCTGGCAACTCAGGGATCAAGGTCTTTTTCTTAGGGGAGGCGTCTGAATGACACCTAAATTGAAAAATGCCATGTTCAAGGAAAAAAAAAAAAAAGCAACATTAAAGGGCCATGTCAAAAACTTGACTCGGTGTTGACTGTAACTGCAAAGACCACACTGCTGAAGGGTCCTGTCCAATTTAAAAGTTTTAAAAAGCATTTAAAAATAGATCACTTTTCTCTTCCCCAAAACTTAATCAGTTATTCTTGGCTGCAAATAAAACCAGTGCTGGGACTTGAAGTTATACTTCATAATCTGGTTACTATTTTGAGGGTTACTATTTTCTGGCTGTATATGCTGTGAGGAAAAAATGTAGGGGAACAGGAGTCTTACACGTGCACACGCGCGCGCACACACACACACACACACTCCCCTGATCACCCCCCAAACCACCCCCACCCCAAACTTTCCATTTCATCTCTGTCTTCCTGGCATGCACATCTGGATTCCATAAATTTCAAGTATGGTTTTCAATATTAGTACCGCTTAGGGTTACAAAACTTGACAAATCTAGAATGCTAGGATGTCAGATCATATTAGCTTGACCAGTCACAGAAGAGAGGGGAGAGGGATGTACGACTGAGGTCCTGCAATAATAAACAAGAGCTCACAGAGGAGCCATCGTTTCTTGTTTAGCTGGTGCAGAGGTTCAGAAGTGACTTAACAGACCTCACAGCCAGGGTAGTGCTTCCCTGCGATCTGTGTCTCCAGTCCTTCGCAGAACGGTGTGAGGGGGTGAGCAGCGAGGCTGGCAGGGGGCCCAGCGTCCGAGTTCCATCTCCACGGTACAGCGCTGAGGACGCGCGCCTTCTCCGAGTCTTGTCAAAGCAATTTCACTTTGTGCCATCCCCAGAGACAAAGTACAGTAGTATGTGAAGGGTACTTTTCAGGATAAACCCATCAACTTGCGGTTTTCAATCTGCTCTGCTCGCCGAAATTTAGTCCGATGATAACGGAGGGAGGAGCCAGCTCAGGAGACGCCCACTTGGCTGAGAACATTGTGTTCAGAGGATTGAATCAAACTACTCGGCTGTAACCCTGCTCAGTTCAGGGTCTCACGCCTCTGAAAGCCCGGATTTTACCTTTATTATTCAAGTTCAGTTCTTTCCCCCACAAAGTCAGCCTTTAAGCCCCTTATGACCCTGGTGTTATAAGAGGGTAGTAGACTTTACGATTAAATCTAAGAGCTTTATTTTTAATTCTATTTTCTGGCTTATCGAAACAACAGCAAAAAGATTCTTCTTCCTTAAATTGGTAAAGTCAATATTCACCTATTTGTCTGTAAACTCTGGGGTAATTATAGGATCGCTTCCATGTTTTCCCCAGCTCTGAGAGAGATGACTAGGAAAAGAGAGGTAGATCTTTTGCAAAAGGGAAAGGGACAAAGAGATGGAGGGAGGGTCAGCGGGGAAAGGGATGAATGTAATCTTCATTACTACGAACAAATGCTTATGGCGAATGATCTGGTCACTACTGGGTTAAATAACGTTAAGTGTATTTCTTTATTGAAGGGTTTCTCAGAGCCTGGAATATGCAAATGCGTTACAAAATGCCAAGAAGGAAAGACAATGTAATGCATTTCCCAAACATGTTTGGCCACGGAGCTTTTCCCTGTGGTGCCTTCTTATATAACGAGCGTTTTGAGAATCGCTCTGGGGACTGATACTTCAGTCCTGTAGTCAACAATCATTCCTTCTGACCCACTGATAAGGAAACTAAAGATGTACCACGTGCTGGCCTCTGTTTTGATCTACTGAAGAAATGGCTTAGTGTCCCCAGTCCCTGTGGGTACACAAAGGACAAAATGGCGCCCTCCTCTGACTTCCTGCCGCCCCCTGTAGGATCTGAGCTTACTGGCTTAGATTACTTACATTGCTTACTGCTTTTTCCAGTCTCCCAATCGTCCAACACCCTGTAGGAGTGGACATTTTATAGGTGCCTTTGTGAAAA